ATGGACGATGTGCCGGCAGAGGAGGCGCCTTTGCCGGCGCAGCGCAGGTCGGCGCTGCAGCGCCAGGAGCTGTGGGGCCGCTTTTGCTTGGTGCGATAGGCAGGGAATGAGAAATGGAATGACCCCGATTTAAGTTCCTTCAAGGGAATCCCCAGGTTCATTCCCTCGTTCCCTACTGAGCACCAGTAAGTTTGCCTTTGGCCCCTCAAAAGGGTGTTCTTTCGAGAGACGTGCGGGTGATGCTCAAAGGGAACACATAGGGCGCCCTATCCCCCCTTTTCGCTCTGAAGGGAAACCAAGAGGAAGCTTTGAACACAAATTTAGGGAGGGCAACACACAGTACGCTGGCCTGAACAAAGCATACCGTCAAATAGTGTCATGTGGATTTTCGTTGGATTCTTCGCCCCAAGAGAGGGCTCCTGGCTTGCATGTGTTGATTGTCCACAAGCGTCAATTGACTGGCAACCAGGGGTGAGAATGCAGTTGCCAGCTACCATGGCAACCCGCGCGACTCGATCATATATCTCCGTGAAGCCGCCCAACACATCACCTGTTGGACCATCGAACGTCCAACAAGTGAGTTGCGTTTGGGTGGGGTAGTGCCAAGGAGAAATTGTGAGGGTTCCGGGTCTCAAAGCCTTTGAATCTCAGAACCCGTATGGACCTCCCATTTCAATGATTCTGATGGGGATGTAGTAGGCGTCCAGTTGGCGGTGTGCTGTTCTGATTTGGCCATGGGCTCACATGGGTTTGTCTTGTTTTGGACTGTACCCTTTCGAGAATGGGCTAGTGGCAAATCAAAGAGAAACTGGGCTCCAGTACGACTCGTTATGCGACAACCCTACATGTCATTGCTTTGACAGTCTGTCAGTAGTTTTCTCAGCGACTGGTCCTTCGCCTTCGCACACGATTGTCAACCTGACATGATATGCTCGGTTGTCTTTTTGCAGGTGATGGTCAACTACACGCAGTAGGCTTCACTCTCCGCAGGATTTGATAGATTTGAGATGCCTGATGCAGACTTTCTGGCTCAGTCAATGATGCCTTTAAACCATAAGGTGCATGCATGATGGACCTGGTTCTGACACCCAATGGTCAACAGAGAAGCCATGACCCAGGGTAACCATCCTTAGATCTTCAGGGATCTTTCTTTCCAGAAGGAAAAGGCTGGTTTTTTGAAAGAGCGGTCAAACAGGGACATGCCCCTTTCCGATTGTCTGATTGGTCATTCCAGGAGAGCGGCGTCAGCGGGGCTAGCGTGCCGGTTTCGCCTCCGAAGCCGAAGCGAGGCGTCCCCTGACTAATGAGTCTGTGCTGAGCACCGACCGACTGTGCCCCCCAAAATGGGCGAAATGGGCGCATTGGAATTGGATGAGAGACTTGGGGCTGATGTATGCCGTTTTCCCACCGCTCTTCACAAAAGGCTGGGCGCCCTTCGGTTGGATAATTCGGGCATTCCATCTTTTCTTGGCCGGGTCCGTCGCCGCGTCCGAGGGTCTCTTCAACGTGCTGCGCCGGGCGCCGCGGTCCGAGCGCTCGGACCGGTCGGAGCGAAGTGGGTCCAAGAGCCGAAAGGAGCGACGGGCGGAGCGCTGGGAGAAGCACAAGAACTTCGAAAGGATTCGCTTTGACCAGGCAGGATTTGCGTGGCAGGATTGGCTCGTGGTTTTTTGATGGTACCTTTATGGGGTGCTTTTGAAGGGACACCAAAGGGAAAACACTGGTTTGGGAATGTATTTTGAGACAAACCCATTCGGGTCCTGTGCAATCCTTTTGAACTTTTGTTTTTGAATTGCTATTTTTCAGTATTGAGGTCCAAACAGGGTCCAGAATCAACAAAGAGTATGGTTTTTGGTTGCAGGGCAAAACTAGGTAGTTACCCTTTGTTGGTTGTTGGTTGTTGGTGGTCATCCTTAAGCTTTTGTTCCCTCAGTGTTCTCTCGTTTGCTAGACCGAGCTGATCTTTTGGCTGTTTGGGAAGCTGGTCTGGAGCTAGCGTTTACCGGTAATCCGTTTGCTTCCCAGAACATCCACCCTCCAACATTTCGGCTCAGCGCGAAGGCCTCCGAGGCTGATCCGAGCCACTACTCTCCGGAGCGGAAGGCGGTGACATCCGAGGATGCGCTAGGCTCCGCGGCGTTTGCGGAGCACATGAGGACCGAACATTTTGGTGCTGGGTGGGGTTCATTTATTGGTTGCTGCCCAAAGTGACTTTTAAACCTTTGGGAAGGTTCAGGCATTGTAGTCAACAAGAAGAGCATGGTCTTTCGTCCTTTCCCTGGTAGCCAAAAACTCGAACGCTGCTCGGGGCCAGAAGAATGGGCATGACGTCGCAGAGACAGAATCGGCCCCCCTACCACTCGAGAAGGAGCTTATAATTTTTACAAGGCCTTCTTGCAAGAAGCTTCGAAGAAGTTTTTCTGGGGCTGGGCCTTCATTGCCTTGCTACTTATTTGTCCCCCTCCCCATCCCCACCATCCCTTCTAATTTGATTCCACTACGGGAAGGATCCAGCGGCTGCTGAACAGCGGGCAGCTGGCGCAGCGGAGCCGCAGCTCGCCCATCGCCAAGGTGCAGAAGGCTGCGGTGGAGGACGGATGCTCCAGGGGGCTGAGGGTGTGAGTTTGGAGGGGGGGGTGGGTTAGGGCTGGGGCCTTGAAGACTTTCCCTGCCTATTCGGTCGGGTTTTCCAAGCGAACAATGATTCCAGTTTTGGCTCCCTTATCCGGTTTGCAGGTGTCGTTGTAGGTCAGTTTGGTCGAGAATAGATAGCACTCCTAAAGGAGTCCTAGGGTGAGGGAAAGTTGCACAAAGTGTCCGTTCTCTTCTGTTGCCAGGCAAAAGAAACAGCTAGGGAGCTGTTGAGGTTCCTATTGCAAAACAGCTCGTACAAAGAAGATTGGCTGTGTGTCTGGAACTCAGCTTGACGATAAAATGAAAAACAGGCGAGGATCAATCCTTGTTTCAACTTCTAAATGGCAACGCCAAGTTGTGCCACAGCCAATGGTTCCCTTAAGTAAATGATAGCCTTCAATTGGGCATGGAAGGTCGCTATCGCGCGTGCAGGACACGGTCTTTGAGGAGAATGCTGAGAAGGCTGAGCTTTGCGCATAGCCTGGAGCTTTCTGTGGCAAGAGGGTTGTCCCTTTTCTCCTTAGGGAGGCGTGAAAAAGAGTTGTTCAAGCCGTGCTTTGCTGCCATGCTTTAAGCTTCTTGGAGCGCGTGCTCCGTTGCCTTTTGTGCTCTGCCTGTCTTCGGGTGCAGCGTTAGCATGGACTCAGCTCTGTTTGTGAATCATCTGAAGGTGGGTTTGGACCCGTTTGGTCATATTTCTTTGTAGAGACGCTTTGGTGTGCATCATTTCCGTGGGGTTTGATGTCCACGTTTGCAGAGAAACGAAGAGGCAGACAGCCTTTTGGGCATGCTTTTTTCGATGTGCCAAACATCTGCAGACGGGTCACTGCCAATGGGAAACACGGCAGGCTGTGAACCTCGAGCACTGGCTGGATGGCGGGCTGAAGTTTGGAGCGGCGCCCGGACTGCGGAACGGCCTTGCGGCTGTTGCAGGTTCTTCTTATGAACAGGGATCAACCATTGGTGGAACTCAGCAGACAAATCACTCCAACAAAGAGCCAAGCGGCTTCATGAGTCCGGCTTCACAGAGCAAAGCGAGCCAGGCGCAAGTACGGTTTCAGACCGCTAAAGAACAGGCTGAAGCGTGTCAGAGAATGGCTCCTTGGCTTGTGGCAACCGGTAACCTGACTTCCTTCAACAATCACCAAGGGGGGGACATATCCCATGTGATATGCCCACGCATCCAGGTTTTGGTTTTCAACACCCGGGCGTCTTGTTGCAAGGCGCTTAAGCCCAAGCGCATGTTCCCCACCGGCTACGAGCTGGCGCCCTGGTCTGAGGCCGAGGGACCTCGGTCGATGGATGTTGGGCATCAATGCTCGTTAGCCACACACTTCGGCCTTTTTGAGTCGCGGGGAACACCCAACAACGAATGGTAGACACAACGCCCGGCAAAGGGTGCATGTCCAACAAAAGCATGGCCGGATGGACAAAGAAGCAACGCTCACCTGCAGTTTGCACACCTGTTGACCGATTCTTGGGCTAACCCGCACCGACATCTACATGCCAGAACCAGGGGCAGTTTCGAGAGTCCTCCAAGCGTGTTTTTTTCCACAAGTATCTAAAAATTGCAGGCTTAGATTTCCCCAGAGGAGCGTCAACATTGCAACACTTAAGGGGGCTGCAAGTCATCTTGGTTGACTTGTGGATGAACATGGACTCTCCGTTCTTCCACCCCGATCATGTGATTGGGGGGCCCTTGTATATTGTTGGACACCCCATCTGTGGAGGAGGTTTGGAGCTGGCCGTTTTCGGGGCCTAACCAACCCGTTTTTCCCGGCGGGCAGCCCTCCAGGAGGTGCCCTTCCTGCGGCACGCGCGCACCGGGGTGGTGCTGTGGCCCATGCGCCTGGACCTGATGCCCTTCTTCGTGGCACTGGAGGGGCAGATGGCCTACCGGAAGCTGGCGGGATGGGGCGGATGTCTCGGCCCCCCATTTTTTTTGTTTCCCCCAGCCGTTTTTTTTTTGATAGCTGTTGGGGGATACCGCTTTTTTTAGTTGTTGGGGGGTGGGATGGGGACGCGGAAGGAGGCAGGCTTATTTTCGGGGACAGGATGCGCGGAACCCAGAAACGAGGGTATGAGTGAAAGTGAACGTGTCCATGGCACGGGGATGGAGGAGGGCAGGGTTGAGGGACCCACATTTGCATTCAGTTTTTCCTGGAGATGGTTCGCAGAGTGGTCGGGTCTTGTCCTTGGGCTGACAGGAGGAACACGACTGGTTTGGTCTTGTGGGGGTTTACCCTGGGCTTTACCCGGGGTTGCTAACCACTTGCAACGTGAGCATGCCCAGCAGCAACGCGAACCCGTCTGAAATTTGGCAGCCTTTCTTGAAGGAAAGAAGCAGCAAACCACCCAAATTGAGGAGCACTCAACTTCGAGACACGGACACGTTTTGCCATAGATAGGGGAACTTCTGCATCGGCTTGACATCGTTTGACGAAGCAGCCCGGCGAAAGCAAAGCAACCTCATAGCGGACTTAGGATTTCCCTCAGTCAAAACAATTTAAGTTTTTCTTGGCATTTCTTGTGGTTCAGCTTCCTTTTGGCGTGTCTTTTTTAGGGGACTGACAAATGCCAGGTGACTGCGTATCACTACACCACGGGGGCCGGCTTCAATCGGATCGTGGCGCGCTTTGAGACGGAGTCGGGCGAAATGCCGGACAGCCAAGATTTCGCGGAGGAAGTTTGGGACAGGCCGGGCGGAAGGGGGTCTCAGACGACTCGGTTTGGCGTTCTTTTAGTGTGGCAAGAATCAGCATGCGTTGGCCTCCACTGCAAGAATGAGGCTGTTGAGGTTTGTATGCTTTTGGCTCGCTCGCGTGGACCTTCCTGGTTTTGATCCATCGCTTCATGGCAAGGTTGGTGGAAGATGTTGAGGATCAGGACTCCGAGTGGCTTGATGGCTTGGACGTGCCGGACGACGCTTTTGTCGCGACTCTGGGCGGCACAGTTGTAGCAGTACCCTCATCCTTTCCAGGAGGGATGCTGCTCAGGACACAAATCATGGATATGATGAAGACAGCATGTTTGCAAGGCTCAGTGTGCCATGAAACTTGCAGTTCTTGAACTTGGTAGCGGCGAGATATGACTACCCGTGTTCTTGCAAGCTTTTGAACAACTGGACGTGGTCGGCGTTTGCAGCACAAGGATTAGCCATCCGCCGGACAAGTTCCCAGACCGAGAGACTCTGTGCCGGGCAGTTTGTCACCTGCCTGAGAGCCAAGGACGGGGTGTGGCTCTTGGTTTTCCAAGTGAGATCATCATGCGAGGATTCTGCTCTCCACTGGGAGCCAGCCATTTTGGGATTGGATCGGGGATTTGTCAGCGGATTTTGTGGCTGTGACTGACTTGGAAAGTGCAATTCGTTCACGAGGCTCATGCAAGCGGGAAAAGACTCTGGGTGTGTTGTTTTGGGATTGTTTTGAAGGGAAATATGGACATTCATTTCGCAGGCAGGCAAGTGCCAGCTCTCGTACCACCGAGTCAATCCATGCACCCAACCTCACCTGCAACTGCGCAGAAGGTCCTATCTGAGACACTTCCGTGTCCAATCCCCATCCCGACCCGCCCAGCTCCGATCTTTTTGGTGTCTACCGCTTGCAGTCGCAGAGGTGAAACAAGTTGAGTCGCAGTCGCAGGGCGGCTGCCGCTGGGCCGGGTCTCCTACTGCATCGCGGTGCGAGTGCCGGAGGACCGGCTGCTGGCCGCGGGCAGGCGACCTGGCTGTGGGGCAACTGGACAAATCGAAGCGCGGGGTCTCCCCGGCGCACCTGTTCTGCAGGATGACATGGCTCCACAGCTTTGAGCTGATGTGGTTGGTAGTGTTGATTGAGGACGGTCAAAGTCGATATGGCTACGAATTCAAGATGAAACCAGATCAAAAGTGGTTGGTGGACATGAATCCTCACCTAGATGATGTTCACCAAAGGGTCCCTAAATCAAGTTATGCCCACCCATATGGGCCTTCCAAGGGGCCACTTCGACTATATGTGTGGTATCAAATCAGCAGGCTGCGACGAGAGGAGACGTATATTTGATCCGTCACACTGCACAGAGTGCAAGCTACTGAGAGATCCCCAGAGTGGAATTACCTCTGAGTGGGGGTTCTCAACGTTGTCCCAGCCTCCACAGAGACGGAGCTTCAGGCAATGGCCGTCTACGGTCTTTGTGGCCGCCCCCGGCAGCGTGGACGAGCTCATGAGCGGCTTGCCCGAATTGTGTGGCCACGAATCTAAGAAGCCAGCTACAGGAAATCCTACAGGAGTTTGGCCACAACCACTGTTTTTGGTTGGTGTTTAGCAGCATCCCAGTAGACTTTCCTGTAGCTGGTCACTGGTTTCTGCGAAAGGCAGTATTCGAACAGAGGCGTTCGCTGCAGGGCCAAGTGGCATGAGGATGCACGAGGTTCGTCCCCCAACCATTGTCATGGCCTTGCGGCAATCGAGGCCAGGACACTGAGAATTCAGGGTCCAAGCTGCAGTGGCTCAGCGAGGCGCGCATGAAGGAGGTCACCTCCAAGAAGGAGCCGAACAAGGACAAGCTGCTGGAGGAGGCTCACGGAGAGCGGAAGAGCGGGAGGGTCAAAGGAAATCTTTGAGGCAGTAGGAAAGGCAGGGAACGGCTATTTGTGACCAAAAGACAGGACAACACGATTGGTTTCGAAGAGGCGTTAATTATCATCCTATTGCTTGTCTGAAAATAGACATTCTAAGCGCCATCGCTCGGAAATCAGAATCAGGCTTATTTTAATTATTTTCCCTTTCCTTTTTTTCCCTATTTGGGTTGTTCCAAGCTACGTGTGATTAAATATCCAGAGCAGAGGATGCCGTTCAGCGGCATTTATTTCTCACACAATCTTAAATGACTCTTTGAACTTTGCACATATTCCCCTTCCTTGGGGACACTCCAGTTCCCTCAAAGTGAACACTCGGTATTTACTCATTTCGGCGGGAACCGTTTGGTTGCCAGCGATTTTGCGGATCGAATTAAAACAGCAACCACGAGGTCAAGGTGCTGGGGCTGCTGGACGGCCTGGTGGACCGCGAGACAGGGCAGGTCATCCAGGCGGGGACGAGAAGAGCGGGGTGGCAAAGGTCCCTTTAACCAGGCGGCGGTTCTTCAGAATGGACTTGTTTTGGGTGTTTTTGGGGAGTTTTAAAGGGACACCACACGGAATCAAGCCATGTTTTCCCCACCCCACTGCGCCATTTTGTTTGGAAAACGCAGGTCCATTTCAGGCTAATTGCTTGCAAAATCTATTCACAAACAAGTGTCAGGTTGATCCCTTTGAGAATCGGGGCAGGACTCATGCCCCTTTTATTTTGGGTATATAATCCCATGTCTGAAGGGTCATGGAGACTCTAGGTAGCATTGCTTATCGTTGAAAGGGTCCTTTTTTGTTTGACAAATGTGCCGAATGCCCAAGGAAGATGGCACGTGTTTCAAAAGAGCGGCGGGTGAATATGAAAATAGGGATCAACACTTTAGTTTTTTTTTTCAGAGTTGTGAAACCCAGTTTCCTTGTCGCACCAAACCAATGAAAAACATGCCCTATCCTGTGGTATCCTGATATCTTGTTGTTTGACAATTTTACGGAACCTGTTGGGCAAGTTCTTGGTGGGCGTTCTTTTCTGTAACTGGGCTGATTTTCTATCGGGGGCATATGGGGGGCCCGGCAAAACTAGGGGAACTTGCTGATTCTGCCATGTCCATTGCGGGTAACAACATGTTCTCACGCATTCAGCTACATCCTTATGTTTGTTTTGAGCTGGTGATTGCCACCCTTTGACCTTCACAAACATCGTTCAAGCCAGAGCAACCTCCTGCAGGCTGACCATTGGAGTTCCTTTTGACCTATTTCAGGAAGGGTGCCTAGTCCTGTCAGGGGTGACATTTTTTGAGGTGGTAGCAAAGAAGGGGGCAGTTTCAACCGGAAAGCAGGACGAAGCCGAATCCTATTCTTGGGGTTCGCATATTCAGAGACAAAAACAGATGTCCCGACTCGCCGGTTCGCGAGTTGGTGCTTTTTGATTTGCTAGCCTTTGAAGTATCGTCCAACTAACAGGTGAGAAGCCAAGGAAATCCATCCTTACAATACCTTACTTACCGGAAACAAAGGCAACAAATGCAGGGGATCCCTTTCAATCGTTGGTTTCATGTTTGTTCGAGTTGTTCCGTTGAGGGGTCCCAGTTCTTGGCACAGAGCGTGACAGAGGATTGACGTCCAACAGTTACCAACATGTTTCCCCTATTATATAATTGTTACACTGTTGCTTTAAAGTACCCAACACCCCCCCATTCTGCTTGCTTAGGCCCCGCATTCCCATGTCCAGCAATGGATCTGCCAGGACAGCCCCAAGACAAAGGAGCAGGTGCAGCGTGACGCTCTGGAGGAGGAGCGAACATGTTCGAAAGCCTGCTTGGCACGGCGCCCAAACACAACAAATCAATGTGTCAACGCCAGAGACCACATGAGCAACTGACAGTATTTACTACCAGTAGTCTGGTGTTCATTTGAAGAGGACAGGGAGGGGGCGGGGGGGCCTGCCAATTGAACTAACTGTATGTAACACTGCCCGTGACTCACACGTGAAATGCTTTTGTCGCTTCAATATCCTTGCCATATCCATACATCAAGGCTGGTCGTTTGGACTTTTGGCCCCTGACTGCAGGGTCTATAAATATTAGATAGGAAGAGTCCTGCTGGGGGATGGCAGTCTTTTCAACCAGAGACATCTCTGATGCTTTGGTAGTCGTTTAGGATCTGAAGGATCGCAGTGCGCTACATGCGCGGGGCCGTGGCTGTGTCGGCATACCACGGACGTGGTCAAACTGTTGACACTGCCACGGAGGAAGCATGTCCAAATCAAGACGGTGGAATTTGACGCTCATGGGCGTGGACGGGACTGTGCCGGTGGGATCTGGTCGCCGGGTAGAATCTAGCTCACGCTGCCTCCTTCCGGCCGCCATATTGCTCCTAAGCATGTCGCTGTCCAACCGATCCGCCGATGCCGCACGCTTACCGAACAGCTTGCCGTTTTCGTCAAGAAGCGCTGCCCCGACGGGACTTAGAGCCATTATCCGCATGAGCTTCCGTCAAAAGGCCGCTGGCTTTTGCGATTTCCCCTCTGGAATGGCTTCACCTCCAGAACTCCAGTTTTGAGGGACCTGTTTTTGTTCTTAAACGTAAGCCGCCTTTTTGTGGCATTCCCTTTTTGGAGACACACAACCGCACTTGGATCCTTCGAGGAGTTCGAGCATGCCAAGCGGCTGGCAGAGGAGCGGCGTGTCATCCATCCAGTTTGTCTCAACATAGCTGGGTCAACGTTTGGTCACATCGTAATTTTGAGAAACAGGTCAAGGCCGGGACCCTTTGCGGGTGATTTCGGCAGGGAACGCCGTTGCATGGTTGCGAAGTCGGGCGCAAACCTCGCATTAGCGTAGTGCCAGAGCCTCGGCATGGCGAGGAAAGCTACACCAACTACAAAGTTGTCTCGTGACATTGGATGTTTCCGTGTTGAATATTGCGCCTTCCCCTCCAGTGCCAGTATGTTCAGCTGTTTGCTAGCTTCCTTTTCCTATCTGAAACAGGTCTCATCCATTTTCTAGTTTTGACACGTGTGCATGTGTCAAAAGTAAGGCCTTGGTTGAAAGGGATATCGACATGAAACCATCCTCAAAGATTTGACGCCTAGAGACGTCATACTCACTTCTTTACTGTCACAATTTGCATGACACAGCGTATAGGCTCTGCCCCGGATTAGTTAGGGGGCATTTCCCCTAATCAAGCAGCGAAGGATTCCCTCGCACATGGGACACCTCACTGTTCATCAACCCCTCAGCGACATGGTTGTGGAGGTTTGAGGGCCACTTTCTGTGATTCCAAGAGATTCGGCCTCAAAGAGTTCCATAGGAATGGCCCATGTTGGTATCACCATTTGTTTTTTAAAGTTCCAGCCAAATTCCACGGAAATATGTAATAACTACAATGTAGTACTTCCATTCGTTATTACTTTCATTGTATGTAAAATACAGATTACCAATTCCTATAAATCATATTTTCTTTCTATTTGGGCCTCATTTTTTTCAACCACCAGATTCCACTGGTTTCTGGCCATTTTTGACGCTTCAACGGACGCATCGTTTTTGCCAGGAGAAGGTCTCCAACCTGAACTCCCTGAAAAGGCGCTGCGAGCGAAAGCTCCTCAAGGCGCAGGCAGGGCGGGGCATAGGTTCCTACTCATGTTGTTTTTTGGGGAACCCCCTTCTTTTTGGTGGTTTTGGAATGGGTTTACAGTGGAGCCAAACAGAAACTTACCAATTTAGAAGTATCACAGTTTTAAAACACACCCATATGACTATGTATAAGAAATCCAACAGAGGGGGCGGTTTCCTGTTGGTGTCCAACTTGAAACCGAGTTGAAAAGGTTACCCTCAAAAGCGACACATCCATATTGGCCCATATTGAGTTTTGTTTGTTTTCTCAGACTAAAGCTACTGCGGCGACTCGAGGCTTTTCCACTACCCCCAAATATATCCAAGGGCAAAAGGGTCTATTTACCCTGTTTATGTAGTGGTTGAACCCAATTCAGCTCTGGGTGGGTGGTGGGCACCCTAGCACAGTTTTTGCGTGGCGCAATTTACCCACAAGACCTGGGCCCCACAGGACGAACAGCCGAATCAGTTCTGTGCACACCGAATCAGCACCAATTCCAATTAATATCATCCAACTAGAATCCACACATGGGGTATGTACCACGGGTGTTACTAGAGACCATGTTTCCTGGTGAAGCCTTCAACCCCTCTCTCAGCTGAAGGCCCACCCCTCGCCCTCCGTGAGGCCCCGGATGGGGAGGTCGACTTCTTCAACGGCCCGGAGCGTATCAGGCGCTCACGCGATGCGCGTGGTCTCAAACTAAGTCTGAGCCAAAGACCAGCGAAGATGTTAGGGGTCATATGGGCCATGACAAGTGTTTCCAAGAATTGGGGACCCTCGCTATAAGTGGCTTCCCATTGGGTCTGTGTTGGTTTTCTTTTTGGCCCATCAAGAGGGATCTCCCAGTGACATCTAAGTGCTGCCTTTGAAGTGGGCCAAAAAAGCCCCGAACAATTGTGCGGCTCAATTGAAAGAGAAGAGGTCCCAAGCGGATTCAAGGAAACAATCAGTGCCGAACGAATTTTTGCGCTTGGGGTAGTCGCCCAGGATCTTGTGACTTGCCCCGGGATCAAGCAAATGCAAGCAATGAATCTTAGGGGCGAGGTCTTTAAATGTCCTCGTTTTCCCTTGAGGAGAAGCGTGACTCAATTCAGCCACGACCCTCTAGGCGATTCCATGATGTCAAAACGCATTTGGAGACTTGATATGGATAGTCAGCTCTTAACGTGGGGGGAGTCTATTGGACGAACATGTGGACTCCTTTTTGGTGGAGACCCACCACATGGGCATATCGGTTTGGTGGAACCCCCCTCTTTGGCTGGTTTGGACAGGTGAACCAAAAGGAAAGCAACCATGGGAGGGGTCTAAATCCTCATTTTAGAACTCCAGCTTCTTCCAATCCATTGTGTACTGGGATCTCCTCCAAACCGATCTTATATTTTAGGGTAGATGCTTAGTAGATGAACTATGAGACAGACTCTAAGAATACCATTTTGTATGTACCTTTGATGTGGGCCAAGTTGAAGGCAACCTTATTTGACCGACAGGAAGCTTCAGCAGCACCTGGAGAGGATCAGCAAAGAGCTTCAGGAGGCATCCGGATGCGGAATTCCACCTGCCTCAAATGCGCAGATATCCTGGTAATCGATTTTCGTTTAAATAAACCCAAGAGTCTCCAGTTTTTGTCGATCGTGGGTCGCTGCTGTGGGGAATAGTGCGCTCGAGCGAAATGTTTTGCAAGTAGGGAACAAGGACACCCATGGTTCATGTTTCCAACCCCCGTATTCACTACCCGCCGTATTTTACAAATGATGTTTGGTTGGCTGACCTGCAACATTGACGGGCATCAAGCCGGCCTTGCAGATTCTCGCCAAGTTATTCCTGGATTCATGGCGAGCTTTTGGGAAATTTCAGTTCAACCATGGGCTCTCCAACTTTTATCGTCCAGTGCGAGACGAGCGGCTTGTCGTTCTGCCGCCGATGCAGGCAGAGCAAGAGCTTCAGAACTTTGATGATCAGGTATCTTGGCAGTGGGCATAATAGGATGCGCAGGTCGTGTTTGGATCGGGTGAAGCCGAATGAGACTGTGTCAACATTGGAGTCCTTCTTAGGGGTTCCATCAGTAGATGAACCAAGAGACAGCCAAAGAGCAACCACATGGAGTCCAAAGAGATAAGCAGAGAAGGAACATTAATAAACCTGGCAACCAACAAGAAGAGCACCATGCTTACCATCAGTACAGTGACATTTCGTTAGCAGGGCAATTCCGTCCCTTGCGCTGCCGGAACTATCGCCAGTCGTTGGTTGGCGCATGTTGGCGCTAGGCTCCCTCTCTCTCTCTCTCTATCGCCATCAGTCGCTCCAGCGCTACTGATGGACATCTACAAAACACACCATTGCTGGATGAAGCGAAATGGGCGTGTCTGTTTTTTGGGAACCCTTTTTGGCTGGTTTCCAAGGTTACGAGGAAACCGAGCATTTTGGGGCCACACCCATGTGACTGGTTCACAAACCGGATCGCATCGAAGCGAGGTGGCGCGCTCGAACCGGCGCCAAGCGCTGCTGAACGGGGAGGTTTCCGGGCCTTCGGGCCCAAAGCTGCAGCTGCGTCGGCGCCAGGCGAGGGACTTGGGGACTTGGGGGACTTGGGGGACGTGGGGGACATTGGGTGGGGGGGAGACTGGGGTGGTCTTTGGACCGGGGAATGGGTCCAAGTTCAGCAGGCTAATTCTGGACCGCAAGTTTTGGTCCTTGGTCCCAATGTACCAGAGCAAGCCATTTTGTTCCCCCTATTTTTGAGCCACAGCCATCTTGGTGTGTCCTGTTGGACATAGTGAATGAGCATTTTCAACCAACTCACCTGAAACGAACAAGCTCAAGTGGGTTGTGTGGAGTATCCAAAGATCAATGTAAGTCAGAAACATAGGAGCAGTATGTTAGTTATTACGCGCTCATAGGCATTCTATTCCCCAACAGTGGCAGCTATGAGGTGAAAAGGCCCAGGTTTCGGGCAGGTCGGAGGATTCCCCAGGCCTCCGGGATGCTCCTGCTTTTTGGGACCCTTTTCTCATTGAGACCCTGCAGGATTTCCAGGCAGAAAAAAGCTACACACATTGGTAGAGGTCCATGGTTGCACTGTTGCAACTCAGAGAATCCAAGACAAGACCAGCACTCCACGCGGTTGAGGAACGCACTTTCAAAGCCTTGAAAGGCGAAGTGCTCAAAGGCGCGACACAGCGCCCACAATGTTCAAGTTTGCCCAAAAAAGGAAACCAAAAGGGATGGGTAGTTGTTTCAATTGTCCATGCCCCCCCATTTCACACCCCGATGAGGTATGCGGTATGCTAGGTAAAGAGAAGCATCCAGGAGGCAGAAAGGAATAATGCTGGTTGCTGGAATGCGTGTGCGTTTGTTTGAGGCTATCCTTTTCAGGTTCTCCATATAGCCAGTCCCAGAAGGAAGCCATCAGGGGTCGCCTCACATCTCCAGTACCTGGGATCGATCGGGTTGGCTCGAAGGCAAAGTTCTCAGAGTTTGCCGGGGACACGCTGGAAAGTGCCGGTGGTCCCAGCCCGGCTTCCGCATGTTCCCAGGGCGTGGAGGGTTGTGGGTGGTCAAAGTTTTGCGGCGGGTTTTGCAAATGTTTCAGGCAGGTGGGAGCAGGGATTGGCCGTTCTTGTTCAGAAGTTGGTCGTCTTAGGCTTCAGAAGTTGGTCTTCAAGGAGTTTAAACAAGTGAACAGTGGCCCGTCCCTGTTCAATTTCATTTTTTATTATTATTATGATGTGTTTTCTTTGGGCTTTGTTTTTGTCTCCACAAGTCGCTTGAGGTGGGAGATCTGGGGGACGAGTACAAGGACCTGCAGGGCCACGTGCTGCGCGACATGTTGGGCGGCAGCAACGCGACGGCCAAGGCCTGGCTGGAGCAGAAGGGGGACCCCAACATCTATGATGGCGGCACCGGGTGGACGCCTGTGCTGATGCACCACGGCGGCACATGCCGACTTCCCGGGGCACCGCTTCTCCCTGGGTTTTTTTTGTCAAAGCTTAAAGGGTTGCTTCCAAAGATTCACAGAGCCAGAAGCTAGGCGCAGTGCCCAGGGTTCCTGAACAAAAGGATCACCCCCCAAGAAGGCTTTCCTTTTCTGTGGTCGCTGCGCACGCGGGAAGCAGGGGGCAAATTTGGTTTAAGGGCCCTGACCGTGAGCTTTGAAAGGGCAACCAGAGGGAGTTTGCTAAATTGAGCACCCCTTAAAGGGAACCTTCAAGGGTCAAACAATAGGGGCTGAACGTTGACGAGATTCCGCCGGTAGCTTTAAAAGGAACGGCACCAAGAGTGAGAGATATCGCCCGATCGACTAGCGAACGAGGTGCGCGTCCAGCGGAAACTTGGAGCTTTTGAGTCTCTTGATCTCCTTCCGCGCCAACTTGGCTCTGCCGGCCAAGGCTCGGTGAGTCCGGGGCCCGGAAGAAGGCTTCCCTTTCCGGGCAAAGGAAAACCCTCACCCGGGCGATGTTGGATTCAATCCGAAGAAGGGAGCCGATCTGTGGAAATGAAAAAGATCACCTGGGGCGTTGACAGGCCTCCGGGGAGTCCGCGGTGCACCTGGCCGTCTACAAGACCTCCAGCGAGGCGCAAGGGGCCTCCTTTTGGCGGTTTGGGGGGTGGGCAAAACACCTGGAGCCCGGTGGAAAGGCCAGGCAATCGATGGGCTGTTTGTTTAAAGAGGACTGGGCATGCTGGCTCGTCTCTCGCACAGGGCGAGTTGAGGGTCAAACTGCCGAGGTCAGGTTGTTGCACAACGTGTTAGACCTTGAAGCCAGCTTTCCACAGGTGTCCTCCTTGCCACAAAAAAAAAGTTCCCATCAGTGTTGTGAGGCAACGCAGTTCCCTCCTTGCCACTTGCTACTGGGCTTCTGGGATCTTCTGGGTAACGGGAAGCTGAGAACGCGGATACATATTCCTCTGTCCGTGCAAAGCCTTCTTCCCAGGGAAAATCGGAGCCTGTTGAGTCCGGATCCGGCCGTTCCAGGTCTTGCATAAGCTGCTGGACACCCACCGGAATGCGGTCCATGAGGTGCGCAAGGACGGGTCCTCGGCGCTCATGGTGGCCGTGGAATGCGCGCCGCCCAAGGCCTTGGGGGAGGCTGCAATTTTTAGCTCCCAACGAGAAGGCTATGAAATTTGAGGGATTTAGACTTCAACATGGTTGGTAAAGAAGAACCCCCAATTCAAATTTGATGTCATTCATACTTAAACTTGACATGCACAAGAGATGTTGGTCAACCTTAACATGTTCAGTTGCATCAAAAGAGTCCCTGATTTGGGCGGGCAACGGAGCCAACCTTGAGTTTGGCATGTGGTTTGGGAGTCAAGCAAGATAAAAGACAAATCAAGATGACGGCTTAATGAAGATCAAACCATGAGAATAGGCAGCCCCTGACAATTTGTGTTTTCGCTCCTTGGTAATTGGAGCTTGGGAGACCTCCCGCTTTTTTTGCCAGGTGAAGAACGAGTTTTTGAGAGCGCTGTTGGACAAGACCGCGGACCCCAACCTGAAGCGCAAAGATGGATGGACTCCGCTGGGTGTTGCCATCAGAAACAACATGCGCTTTGCGGCCAAGGCGGGACGATGTCTAGGCATCAGATTTCGCAGCTCCGGTGATGAAATTCGGTGCTGGGAGTGGCTTCAAGCCTTGGGTCCTCTCCCAGCCTTTGCCGGGAGAAGTATGGCTTGGTCATCTCTGGCCATGCAGCAAAAAAACCGTACAACACCAGCCAGCCAGCCAGCCAGCCAGCCAGGCAGGCAGGCAGGCAGCCAGCCAGCCAGCCAGCCAGCCAGCCAGCCAGCCAGCCAGCCAGCCAGCCAGCCAGCCAGCCAGCCAGCCAGCCAGCCAGGCAGGCAGGCAGGCAGCCAGCCAGCCAGCCAGCCAGCCAGCCAGCCAGCCAGCACCGACCGCCCGAGTGACCAACCTTGAGCGCTCGCCTGCTCACTCAAAGCTTTGGGTCACCATTACAAAGTTCCGGAGGCCTCCCCCGTCTCATTTTCCTCGACCGGCCGTGGTTCTTCTGTTCGCCTTCGTCTGGTTTCCTGGTAGCGTGGATGCCGCGTATGTGGTTCACTGGTGCTCGCAGGCCCTCCCTGTTGTTCGTTTTTTCTGGTGCTTAGACCCTGAGACCCCTGCGGCTTTGGTTTTAGTTCCCTCCAAGCCAAGGGGTTCTTGCCATCCTTGTTCCTTTTGAAACCATCCAAAGGGGATTCCCTATTTGAGACACCCATGTCGACCCTCATACTGTGGGATGGACCAAATCCACTTCGCACTTGTGCCTGGCGGCAAAGTAGTTCTCCGTTTTGTCTTTTTCCGGGTCAGATCATGGTGGCGCGGAACGGGGCCATTTTGACCAATGTGCCGGGCACCACGCCACCGGTGACTTTGTGGGAACTGGCGGCCCAGCACAAGGACCTGCAGCAGGCGCTGAGGCTGAAGCTTTCCAGCAAGGACCAGTCGAGTGTCAATTAAAAGCATGGGGGTTGGCGTTCTAAGCCGTACTCGTTCATGTTCATCGCGGAAAAATGCCTGTGTAATTAGTTAGTCCCTTCCAGTATGTCTCTCTCTCTCTCTCTCTCTCTCTATGTATCTCTTATCTCCTAGACATCAACTCTTGGATAATCCGGGTCATTCACTCAGGCTGCGGCACCTTTGGCTATCAACGCTTTGATAATCCGAAGACATGGGGTTGCTGGGAGCCATTCCTAATGACCAAACCACTCGTATCTCTCTCTCTCTCTATCTCCAATCTCCCGGTCATCAGCTATTTGAAAATCCGGGCGATTAATTCGGTTGCTGGGAGCCGTTCCAATGACCAAACCACGTTTGGGTAGACAATTGGTATTGGGTCCTTTGGTTTTCTCTTTCTACACTTTTGTGACATCTCGGGTACCCATTAGGACCTGGCCGAGATCGAGAAGAGGCAGGGTGCAGGGGAAAGTGTTGTTGCCAGACTTAACTTTGTGCTTTGGTGCAGAACAGGGACTTCCATGTTTTGTTTGTTGTACGGAGGTCAATTGAAATCAAGACAGCTGCTCAAGGTTTTACTCTTTCAAGCAGGTCCAAAACCATCCCAGTTTAGGGCTCCGTTCAACTCAGTTTTCCCCAACGCTGACATTTTAGAACTGACTTGGAACATCAAGGCAGTCGTTGCCAGATTAGTCAAAGCGGGGAGGGGGCCACACGTTTTGGCGAATATATGGTGGATAAGACCACCCGGAATGGTAATACGTAATTATCTAAACGAGGACAAACACAATGGAATGTATCTATCTATCTACAATATATATATATATACATATATATAATATATATATATAATATATATAATATATATATATAATACACACCCGCACGATTCCAGCATCCATGTATATACATATGATATCAAGTCTCCTTGTAGCGGTGGGTTCGGGTCAAGGCGGCCACAAGGAGGTCCCCCCGAATTTTGCTCGGTTGTTCGGTCAGGTGGCCTGGCACTTTGCTTCAGATGCAGGTGGAGGAAGAGTAAAAAGCCCCAAGATTCGACCTCGAGACCTTGAGGCCAGCTGGAGATAATTGGACATTCGGGGTCAACGCTCGCCGGTCAGCCTCTCGCCAACCTTAAGCTTCGGACATCCGAGAAGCCGCAGAGGTCTTCTTATCCCACTGCACAGAGAGGGAAGCGGAGCCGGTCGACGCGAGATGGACAAATCGAGATGACGCCCAACGCGAGCTGATGATCTGATGGTTGGATGTGCGTGCGGAGTCCAACAATTGGGCTTGTCTCCAAGGGGAACCTGCCAAATGTGGGCGGGTGTCCTTTGGTTTCCCTTTGATATGCACAAAAGGGCACTGAGCTTCAACAAATACACAGGACTGCACTGGCAGGCCAGCTTTTGGGTGCACGGAGTCAACAAGATTTGGAGCGCCCAAGGTGCCGAGAGTGCAAAACGTGAGCAGCGTCAAGCTCCGGTTCGAATTGGCCCGAAGGTCTGTGCGCAACCGTTCGGTTCTTGTCACGTCGCCAGTTTTGACACTGTGGATGTCCTGGCAGCATTCACGACTTTGGATGCTTAAGGCGCATATCCGGGTGCCTGAAGCCAGCCCAACTTGTGGCAGTTCCCTTCATGTCCATTGGGGGGGGGAGCACGCAATTAGTCGGCACTTGTCAGGAAGGCCTTCCACACCGGGCCATCTTCCAGTCAGGTCGCCCGCGGCCAAGCACGCGACTGACAGACTGATGCATCTGCTGGTGTTTTCATGGCCATATCACGATCTTTTGACCCTTTTGATCTTCAACCCTGTTGATAAAAGAGTTTCACTGGAAGCTTATTGCCATCACTCACCTCAGGGGTGAGCGTGGGTGAGGTGTGAAGAGAGCGTCGGACCCATCGGTTTGGTCATTCGGGCAGGTGATCAAGTGGCTTGCCTCGGGTGCTGTTTGAATCGGGCTGCTGGTGGAAGCCCATCTGGTGTAAGGTTCCAAAAGGGGTCCCCTTTGTACCAGTTTCTCAACTGAGAATATGGATTAGGATTTGCCAGCTCTCCATTTTGAGCCACACAGCCGATGGAATTTCCGCCGTGTCCACGCATCCCCTCAATGCAGAACGGTGGCCCCGGCTGGTGTACTCAGTACGCTTCCCTCGCAATCCCCGAGTGGAGGAAGAACGCAGTGAGTGGATGTGTGGATGTGTGTGTGTGTGTGTCTGTGTTTGACAGGGACGATTCCAAATACGATGAGTGTCCCAATTTCAGAAGCCCTTTGAAGCTCAAGCCATCCATCCGAAAGGCCCCCGCCCCGCGCGCCCGAGGATTTCCTGCGGCTCACGCAAGAGCTCAGCCTTTGCCTCAGATCCCAGGCCCACTTGAAGAACAGGGCGTGCTTTTTATATATTATTGTTTTATTCCCCAACAGCTGAAAGCTTTGGGGTCTCAGCCCAGATAGGCTCTGGGGTGGTCCGGGGCGGCCCTGAGGTAAGGTTCCACGAGGGTTCCACCCCACCAGGGTTCCACCAGGGTTCCACCAGGGTTCCACCAGGGTTCCACCAGGGTTCCACCAGGGTTCCACCAGGGTTCCACCAGGGTTCCACCAGGGTTCCACCAGGGTTCCACCAGGGTTCCACCAGGGTTCCACCAGGGTTCCACGAGGTTCTGCGAGGGCTGCGGGGTGGTGTGAGCACTAAAAACAGCACCGCATGCTGTTGGGGATATCACCTGAGCTTATTTTTTTTTATTTTTCAGGGTACCAGGAGTATCCTTTCTAGGGTTTCCACAGGAGAACCACATCTTGTTTTGCCCCACCCTAGTTTGACATACGCACCCAAATTTGTTTGGAGGGGGCAAATACCATGGTGTGCGTCCCTTACTTGGGTCCTGTATTTCAGGTTTTGGACGATTTTGTAGAGAACACAAACCGTTTGAGGTGGGTTGAATCATGCCTGGAAACATTGGAGCAGCCATTCACACCAATAATAGCTGTTCAGGTGGTATGGAAGGAATCAGCGGACGCTTCTGTGCAATGAGCTTGTCGCCTTTTCAGCTTGCAAAGACCCGAATGATTCTTGGTGCACAAGCAAGCCGATCCATGTGCTTCGGAGAGCGTTTGCTTGCTGTGAGGGTTTTAGCTGACAGGTGGCTCTGTCTATCGATAGCTCCTGGCAAACCCAGTCCAGCAGTTGCTTTTCGGTAGGCTGCGATTTCTTTGATCTCCCAGACAGGGTTGGGCAGAGTCTGTTTAAACAATTAGCCCCTCCCTGGTCCCTGTAAAAAGGATACCCAAAGGAGGAAAGTCTAATGCTTGAGAAATGTTTAAACCAGGGGGTGGCTTTCTCCGAGTCCCAGGTCTGGATGACGCGGAGGTGGTTTGCGACGTGCTCGCCGCGAATGCGCTCTTCAGGCGGATCCGAACTCGAGAGTCGATGCAGGTTGTGCAGACCAGCGCCCAGCCGATGTCTCACCGAATTGGTCGAGGTCTTGAGGAGCTGGCAAGGTTTCCTTTGTTTTGGAGAAATGAACCACCCTGGGTCCAAGCCTTGGGGTAATAAAAGTTGGCACCCGGAAGTGGTGCCAGTGGTGCCAGTGGTGACGGTGGTGCCGGTGCCGGTGCCGGTGGCGACGGCGGTGGTGGCGGTTCTTGCTATTACTATCACAGAAGGCAACCTTTTGTCAGTGAAGCTTTTCCTCGTTCAACAACAGATGGCCCAACAGTCGCCAACACCCGTGTTCTAGCCTCCAAGACTCGAATGCCTCTCGCTTTGCAAGAGTATATAGTATTCGTCAGTTCGCTGTTAGTTGTTCCATGTCGTTTGCTTGCATGCTTGCTAGTTCCTCGAATTGACGCTTTTTGCCAAGTTTGGGGCAGATCCCGCAGGCCAAAAGGGCACTGCAGCTTCCTTTTTGAGCCTTGACCGCACGTGGACCGATGAGGCCCTGCGACCAGTGCCTGCCCCAAGCCGCGGCGCGGAAGGTGCCTTCAGCTTGGGTTCATGTTTTCTTGGGTTCGAAACGTCATTTTTTGTGCCATGGTCAAAATGACCAGGTAATTATCCAAAGGACATGCAGTCAAGACCGCAGGCCATAGTCAATTTTGAGCCTTTTTGGGTGATGATGGTGATGTTTGAAGACACGGAAGTGGGGGTGGTTCATCAGCCGTTTGGGGACCAACCCGCGATCGCCGCGCCAGGCTCCCCGTGTCGACCTAGGGCCCCATGAGGCCTGGCACCGGGCATTTGGACGGCAAGCACCCGTGGGCGCGTCACGTCTCCCCCGTTTTTTCTTCTTCCTCAAGCGCTGCACTTAAAAAAAGAAAGAAATCGGAATGGTTTGATGGTCGTTACCGGAATTAGGATCTCGGCCAAGCATCGAGGCCCCAAGGGTTTGTTCCCGTCGGCTGCAAAGCAACAACAACCATTGTCCCTTGATTGATCAACTGCGCGGCTTGTGAATCGCTGTCCGCTTTGAGACGTCATTCTTGGGCAACCCCTGATAGACCGATTTTCTAGTTCTGTGACTCGATTCTTGAAGCCCTGCATCACACCGTGGATAGCCAAAATCTTTCACCGGTTGGAACGGATGAAGCCCGATTTGAATCCTAACTGATGCCGATGGACGTTGGATTTTGTCCATCAGTATGTGGGATATGGACTGTATTGCCAGCTTTGCAGGTTCTGGAGCTGACCAATGGCGGGCCCTTGTACATCATCGAGACCGGGGTTGTGCAGGCGGATTCCGAATCGGTGAATTCGGCGGCTTTCCGCTGACTGTTGAATCGGAGTTTGACGATTTCGCTTGGGATCTCAGTCGGAGGCAACCCTAGCGGTGCGCAGTTGCCCTGTCCATTCAATCTCGCGTGATCCTGGCCGCAGGCACGGGTTGGCAATGGTCCACCGGTGATGCTTGGTGCAGGGCAGGCGCGGTCAGTTCTGGGGGGCCTTTGGGTGTCAAAAAGTATCCTCCGGAAAGGCAAGTTTAACATGTTCACTGGGCAACGTCTTTGAATGGCTGGGGATTTGCGGAACAGAGGGAGCGCCTTGAATATAACAAGCTGGGTGAAATTTGGCGGCAAAAAAACAGTTGTCTCGATCAGGTGCTCAACGCGGTGGGCTTTCTGGGCATCGCGCATGAGGCGCTCCTTCCTTGGAGTCATACGCCTTGGATCCTGATCGAATTTCGAGTGGGTTTCAAGCTATTCTAGAGATAATCTCCCGAACCTTTGCCAGAATGAATCCAAGGCAGGGATAAGGGATCGTTGGGTCCAACTTTGATTCAGGCGAAAGATTATTCTGAACAAATTGGGTTGGTGTGAACATGGGACCTCTTTGGACTAACCAAACTCAAACAGGCCCCCGCACGTACGCTCATTCTGGCATATTGAACCAACTTCGGATCAACGCCTGGCTTTTGTGCCACCCCCTCATGGGTGTTGGTGTGTTTCTCTCCAAGAGGAACTGGGGGCGAACTGCCGATATCGTGGGGTCCCAGTCAAGATTTGTTAGCACCCACCGGCAGTACAGGTTTGTTGGGGAGGGTCCCAACCGAAATGCGATGCGGCTTTGACCATTCGATAGGCCCGTTGGGTGTTCTGTTTCGGTCATGTAAGGGTTAAGCAAGTGCAACAATCATGTTTCAATGATCATCAGGAGAATTGCTTTAGTAAAACCCCACAACTCTGTTCTAGTCATTTGGAGCCTTGTAGTAGCTATCTTCCATAGGGAGTTTAACAAACCTCAGTCCAGACGAACAAGTGTGCTGGAACATGATGCGCCAGTGACTCCAGTTCCAGCGTCACGCAAAGGACTTGAACCCGGTTGTTCATATAATATTCCAATATCGCTTCCCTGGGTTTTTTTGTCCTTTGCACCGGGATCCCCAATTGGAAGGACGGACCCAAGCTTGGCTCCTGCAAGCCAGGCTGAACCGTTCAAGCCTTCTGGCTTGCCAGTGGAGCAGCCAAAGCTGAAGGCCTGAGGGGGCATTCAGACTTGGGAGTGGAAGGCTTTTTGTACCTGGGGTTACTAGGAGTTGGGTTCCAACAAATGGGTTCGTCCTTTGGTGCAAGCCCGATCCGGTTATGGTCACGCCCAGTGGCGCGCCTCAAACCAACGGAATCCACCGACTTGTGCTTGGTATTGCACTTTGCTCAACTTGGGATACCACCCCCGTGCCTTCTTGCTTCCAGAGACCAATTTAGGTCATGCTTTGCTTACCAACTGGGGTGCAAGGGCGGAAGCCCAGGATGCAGCCCCTTTTTTCCATCATGAAAGTGGGCCATCGGGGCTCCAACAAGAAAGTAGTCTTCCAAAACCCCTCCTGTCAGCTTCAATTGCTGGAGGAGGGGAGATCTGCCTTGCACTGCCTCTTAACATTGCCTTTTGGATTGGTGGGATGTCCCAAAGGAGGTGATCCATTTTCTCAACTCCTTTTCAGGCCCCACTGAAAGTGGTTGATTGTTTGATTCCTTGTGGTCGGGGGATTGTTGAGGGGGAACACTAGGCGGACATAGAGACCAGGCAGAAACGATTTGCGAGCACCTTGCGTGCTTTGACTGTTTCCAAGAGCTTTTGTTGCACCCATTTGATGATTTGATGGGGCAGGCCCATATTTGGGTCTGTTTGTTTTGTTGAGAATACCCTTACCCTTCTCGGGGTGGTTTCAGCGGAACAAAAGGGAAAACCTCAAGAGGGGTCCCCTATTCGAAGACGCGCCCATATGCCTAGCCTAGCCCACCCACCCCCACACGGGACGCACGCACTCACCCCCAGGGCTGCGGCCCCTACGAGATCTATCGACCGGGCCAGGCGGGCAGCGAGCGGCAATTTTTGGTGAGGGTTGAGTTGGGCGACCATCAGGGCTTTGGGTTAGTCTGCGGTTGGCTGGTGGTTAGCTGGTGGTTAGTGGGTGGTTAGTTGGTGGTTGGTGGGTTGTCAGTAGTTGGCGCTTAGTCGTGTTGGGGCAAATTAAATTATAGCCTCGCTTAGCGGGTCTGCGACCTGGGCCCCTTGATACCCATATCGCAGTATCACCAGCCCCCAAACAGGTTTACTCTTCTCAGAATGGTTGGGGCGAGGGATTGGGTTTGGTGTTTTCTGCAACTGTCACTTGGAAGTAGACGTGGGTTACTGAAATCAGCTGCAAAGCATAAAGGGCCTACCCGACTTTCAATGTCATGGGAAAGACCTTTTGTCCATGGCTTAGTGTGAGCAACTGTCAAGATTCGCCCTGATCCACTGGAATGCAGCAGACTTCAGGTGCCCTCTTCGGTTTTCGCGGAGCGCCGCGGCGGCGCCCCCAGGGTGCAAGGACTCTGAAACAGATGGGCCTGTCTTTTGTTCGAGCATGCCCGTTCTTGGGTTGTGTTCAAGGCAAACCAAAAGTCCGCCGATGCAGGAGGGATAGCATTGCTTTGCCACGAGACTTCCAACACGAAGCAGGCAGCCGCCTTTCCAGACACCTGATGGACCCCCATGTGGAACCACGAGAGACACGAATCGCTTGAAACTGCGCGACACCGCTTGGCGCCGTGCAGGATCCCCTCCCCCCATCGGCCCATCCCCAAGCAGACGGCAGGCTGCATACGCGCCACGGCCGCCTTTTGCACGGCTCAAGCATGCCTAATTCACGGGGTGGCGGCTCGATTGAGCCCGGGAGAGGCAGTCTGCCGCAGCCATGCGCTCGGAGGAGACGTCGGGTGCTGGTTAGCAGCAAATAGAGTAAATATTGGGTTGTCCTAATATGAAGGGTCGCTTTAAAGCGTCGGTTCCCTTTTAGTTCCCTCCGCTTCTCCACAACCTCAAGACGGGTTCCATCCAACACAGATACACTCTCATTTGATTGATTTGACCACTTTGGAACTTAACCAGGACCGCAGCAACCAGAATCATCTCCTAAACATGGATGGTTTCCCCTTGAAAGCATGTCGTGGCTTGACGTCCCAGCATACCCCTGATTCCGTGGGTAAGACTTGAAAAAATGATGTTGGGGACCCCCCCCCAAGCTCCCCACAAGGGAAGGGTGATCTCAGCATCAACCTTTTTGTGCCTTTCATGCCTGCCTTTCGGGGTGTGATCTTAGGTAGAAGTGGAGGCCGGACTGGCGGGACCTTCCTTCCCAGATCGCACACTTCCAACTTTTGCGAGTTGTTTTGGTCGACTGCAACCAGCTCTTGGGCATGTTTTGCCTCAGAAGCTATAGGAAGTTTGGGTGGTCCATATAATCCATTTAAGTGGCTTGGATGGTAAGATAGCGGAAGCGAGGGGAGTGCTGAGTTCTGAGCTGCGGACAGCGCTCGCCAGGAGGATCCTATCGTGCTGGTCCGGGATAGCTTCACGCACTACATCGAGGTGGGATGGGCTTCATGGTTGCCTTTTGTTGGATCTTGTCGGAGGAGCCGGAGGAGGATGTATTTTTGTAGGACAAACAGTAAAATAACAATTGAGACAAGGCTGCAATCTGGTGCGCAAAGCCGCCTTTTTGCTTGGAGCGTCGACTCTTTTCTGTCCATGCCACCAACGCAATATACGTAGAACTGGGCCGACTCCAACCACGTCTTGTGTTTGTTGCTTTTGCGCATGGTAGGCAAGTTAGGCAAGTTAGGCAAGCATGTTGTTTGTTTCTGACCAGCGGCCAATGGCGATTATCAAATCAGATTGATTGAACTTCCCAGATCACTTGCAAGCAACAACACTGTCTCACATGTACATTGTGCTGTTTTGCTGAGGGCGGGGCAATGTTTGCAACCAACGCTTGCAGGCCGCTTTCTGGCATCTAACCGACCTTCAAAGGCGGGGCTTATGATTCATGTACCGCAGATTTTGGTCGGCCCCTTTACTGCCAGGCTTTTATAATGCCTCGGATTGACACATCCCCACCGTGGTTTTGGAACTCTTTTGGGGTGGCCATCCGGGCAAACTCTTTCGCGAGCTGATCAGTGTGCGATGCATTCTTTGGCAAGATGGTCATGGTTCCATTAGCGGGACTTAGTGGGAACCAAGGTCGGCCAAAAGTTGCTTAAGCAACCAGCTGGGTCCTTTCAAAGGAAGCCGACATGAGATTGTTTACACATGTTTACACAATAGCAGCTTAAAACATGTTAGCAAAAAGCGTGGCACAACCCTAGTGAAAACCCGCCAAAATTTCGCCAGGCGGTGGCAGGAGCCTGGACAAGCAGGTCGCAAGCAGGACGGAAACGGGACGAACCACCCAATTTTTGGGTGCCTTGGGCCCAAGGTAGACAAGGTGGACTCAAACCCCAGGGCTTCCCACGCAAAGCTGGGGCAATCTGGCACATGTCTGATTTTTTCTTGGCTGCGGGGCTACGGGGTAGACTCGACACGGGGATTGGATCCCTAGGAGAGTGTGAGAACTGCAACAGGACCGCAGACATAGGGCAACCTGACAATGTATCACAAAGTGCCAATGAGCATGGCTCAATGAAGACAAACTTTGCAATGGGCAAGTTGAATCTGATCATTGCCGAACTCATCGGATCCAGGTCGCACGTATCGAACAGCCCTCAACGACCCAGTAGGAAGCTTACACATGGCAAGAGAGACGAGCGTCCAAACCAGTGAGGGGCTGCTACGGATTGTAGCAGGCGAGGTTTGACCCTCAGACCAATCAATTACATAGTGCTTGACTAGGCATTCCTTTTGGGCCATTGCTGAGACCTGGTTTGATTTTTCTACATTTAAGGTCGGCCGCAATCTAAGCACGCCTTTTTTTCGGCTTTTTGGTCGAAGCAACGTGGGTGAACTGAGCGGTCCTTGCGGATCGGTCGGCAGGTTGAGGAGCTTGCAGCGGTCTGCAGGGAATGCGGCTTGGCATCTGCCAAGGCCATCAGAGACGCAGCGCATGGTCGGGGCCGGTAAACCAAAAGGTCAGATGGAGGGCGAAAACCGGTTTGAGGAAACACAGCACCCCTTTCCCATTTGTTGGGGAAAATAATTGGCCCCGCCCGTCGCACGGCTCCCCACTGTTCTTTGAAGCAGCACCCCCTGCAAGCGTGGCCTTTTTTTCACATCTTGTTTTGAAAGTTGTATGTTGTGTGTGTCGACTAGTTTGTGATTCTTTCTTCCGTGATGTTGTTCGCACCCGATGCCGCAAAGGACCTCTTTTTGCACCTGCAGCGCCTATTGTCGTGCCTAGCTGTGCATTGTTTCTGTTGAGATGATGGCAATTTCAACTTCCTCCTCTCCATTTCTAGTCAGCAGACATCTGTACTGTGAGTGGGAGGGCGTTCACCATTTCCATAAAAGAGCACGTGGTTTTACAAACCTAAACCACTTCTTGAACCTGGTTGTTAGGCCAGATCTCCTACTGGGACCTAGTGACTTAGGAAGACTCAGACGTATTTGCAAGCCTGCAGACGCTCCTTACCATGCTGAACATCCTAAACGTGCTGTCCGATGGTCCAGTGGTGACCTCAACAAATCATACCCTCTTTCCAAGAATCATGGACGTGCACGAGCGGAGGCTTCTGGAAGACGAACCCCCCCCCCCCCAAACGTCCACTTCTCCAACAAACTCGGGCGCCAAACTCGGGCTAGGCCGTGGTAGCCTGCGATCGGGTGCTGAAGCGCTTTGAGGCCATGAACACTTTGCTTCGGAGTTCTCTTGTGGCGGTTACTTGGTGTCAACAAAGGATTCTAGGGCCTCCAGATTTAGGGTACACCAAACATTGTGCAGAATCTGATGTTATTCTTGGTGCCCCCCCCCCCCCCGATTTGGGCCAAGCCACCCTCTTTCCAACGGAGTTGGACATAGAGGATCCCCAAAAGGCAATTCTGTGAGCTTCCATGATGGGAGGGAGGGTATCAGTCGGATGATTCAAGTCAGAACCCCCAATCACCCTGGCAAAAGCAGCAACCTTTGTGGGCGCACGTTTGTGGGGACCGAACCCAAATAAACGGATAGTGAAATCAAATTGGGAAGAATCCATCAATGGGGATCCCATCCCGGAGTGTATTGCACGCCACGCAGCGAAATGCGGCAGAGGGTGCTACGGGGGGGGGATCATAGAACTTGACATCCCATAGCATGAAGCATGGACAGTGCCGATTCAAAAAGCATTGCGCCATCCTTCAACTCAGCTTGCCTTTACTGTACCCTGTTGAGAGGCAGAGGATTGTTTTATTATCGACAACGGCGAAACACCCCCTGAAGGAAGCCCTGGCTACTATTTGGCCTCATTCAGGTGTGTTGGAACCCAACTAACCAGCAGGCACTTCCTCTTTCCAGGTCCCTTTTTGCAGTGCCATTTGATTCTTTGCGTGGGCTGCAACAAATCTCCACCCCAAGGATAGACTTGGGCTGGCTAAAACAAGCCACTCTTCGAGGCTTCATACGGTTTTTGGAACGGAAGTCCTGGCCACTTGGTTTTGGATCCCAAATCCCTATAGATTTGGGATGCCTTGCCGGAACCCCGTCCTGGCCTACTCCAGTGGTGTCTTTTGCGGAGGCGAAGCAGCCGATTGCCAGCGAAGGGACGATGCCCAGCGGATCCCTCCGGGCGATGCGGCGGCTACGGTCCCTGCGTGCCAGGCAGAGATGCCGACGTTCCTCCATGGTTTGGGTACGCTTCCAATCAAACAAAAACATATGTGCACAGGAGCCCCTTCAAAGATCAGTAAAGGCTAATCAACCCCCCAATTGCATTGTTCAGTGGCACCCATTTTCCGCTTTTGTTTGGTCGGTTTTACAAAGAATGGTCAATCCAAAGGGTGCCCTTTTACTACCAGGGGAATGGGAGACATGGGAGCTTCGCTCTCCTGTTGATTGAATAACCAGGAATCCCAATGTGGGTGTCTTTGGGTCAAAGCCCACTTGGGATATTGCCATTGGTTTTAAACAGTTGGGCCGCTGGAGTTGGGTCGACGGTTGCGCTCCTTATCCTGGCTCAAGATCTGCCAGCAGTAGAATTGCCATTTGCCATCGATTGACCATGATTTCAACTCCCCGGGCAGGCGACAATGCTTCTGGCAGTGGAGCCGGCAACAAGATGGCGGTGGTGGGGTTGGGTTGTCAGGTTGCCAAGGTTATGTGGGATTATGTCGCACAAAAGGTGGACGGCAAAGAGGCAGCCAGGCGTTTGGGAAGGGCAACGGCAGGAGCGTTGGGTGGCATGGCGATCAACTTTGGAGTTTCAGCACTGGCCCAGGCGGTTGGAAAAGCTACCACGCATCCAGTTGGTCAGTTCGCGTGTACGGTCACAGGCAATCTTCTGGGGAGCTGGCTTGCAGACAAGTTCATGCAGTTTCTCGAGTACCTCTTTGCGGACGACC